TAGACAAGAGAAGGGGTTTTTTTGTAAAGCAATGTCAGCTCAGGCATTTTTCCTATAATAAAAGAATGTTGTTTCTAACTGCCAATATTAGTGTTTTATAGCCCTTTACTATAATTGCACAACATCTTGACACATAAAAGTTAATAGTGTATCCGGAAATGCATGCCAAATAAAAGCTTGATTTAGATGGATTAAATATGCTTTTTGATTCATAGGACCTAGTGAATTTACATTACCCAGAAACCAGCTGCAGATCTTATGTGCAAGAAATTCTTTTCACCACACTGTCCCTTAATCTGGTATATATTATGATATTTCCATCATCCTAGCCATCAATTTGTAGCCTTTAAATAAATCGTAACATACCCAAAATTTCTCCAAAACTTCACATGTACTTCCATCCAGAGATCATAGATCAGACTTGAATGTTCCAGAAAAGGGATTCACCAAAATTTTCTTCTTGGGGATCATCTGCACATCCCACCACACACACTGGGCTTCAGTGGGACCTCATTTTATTTTAAGGACGTACCACTATTGCACATGTTTTTCTCATCCATAAATCATAGCTGAGGCCACCTATGCATATTTAATAGAGTGATTAAAATGGTGTTTCCCATCTTTTCTCAACACAAGTCTTGCTCTAAACACAGTATGTCCTATTTTGTTATGGAGAAGGCAGAACAGGGATTGGGGTCTACCCAGCTCCTTTTAGCTTCAGAGCACACCCCTTCTTCTCCAATCCCTGGTGAATTCCTTCCATGGCCATTTCAGCTTAGCAACAGGAACACCAGCAACTGTATACAAAATGCTGGTAAGATATTTCATGGCCTCTCATTAACCCAGGTAGATCAAACTGCCTGATAAAGGAACTTGCCAAGTAGAGTAGGAGAATTTGCCCATCAGGAACTCCCAACACCCCTGACAAAAAGCAAGAGATCAAAAAGTGATGCAGTCAGCAAAAGAGAAAAAGAAAAACAAGACAGAAAGAGCACTGAGTGTATAAAACAGATGAACAGGAGAGGTGAGAGCCTTGGAGAGATGAAGCATGCAACAGAGTGAAAAGGCAATTGAGTAGTAATGGAGCCATGGGGGCTGATGGAGAAAGGGATGATGTGAGAGACTTTTTTTCTGGCTTAATGGAGAGGAAGAAAGCATATTAAATCTAATGTTTGTGCCCTTGATATGAGCATTTTAAGGATAAAGGATACTGTTTGATCGGTACCTGAGTGGGACATGATGAAGGCCACCTAGAGCTACAGCTTTGACCAGGTAAGCAAGCAAAACTCTGATGGCAATAGCAAATTTTCCATGCTGTTGTTAGTTGTTTTGATAGATGTATTGTCAACAACCCTGTAAGGTATGTTGGGCTAAGAAAGGGAGTGATTGGTCCAAAGTCATCCTAGAAACTCTGAGGGTAAGGAAGGTCTTGACCCTCTGTCTTCTTAGGACCCGTCCAAACCCTTAGCCAAGAAAACTTCATCACCAGGAGATCAGCTGAATTCAAGAGAGATTGAATTAGTTACTGTGCTCCTTCACAAAATTGGTTGGTGCTTTATGACAAGGATAATCACAGCTCAATTTATTACATAATTGTTTTTATCTGTAAGGCACATACAGCATCCAGTACCTTACATATGTTTTGGATTACAACTCCCATGAACCTCAGCCAGAATTGCCAACAGATTTTCTTTAAGGAATTGTGCATTAGTGAAATGCTTGTCCATCATTTCTGGAATGAGCAGATTGCTTCTCCTTAAGACTTATAACCAATAGGGATGATTCTACTAGGAGAAGAAATGTTGCTGACAAATTGGGAATTCTCCGGAGTATAAGTATTTGCATATATTGGAATTCACCTCTTACGTCTGGACCATTGCTCCCTTAATGGGAAATGACTTTTAATTGCAATGCCATTTTTTTCAGTTTGTCCCTGACATTTTAACTATTGCTTGCTGTCCTTAAAAGTGGCTTCAAAATATTTTATGTTAAAAATTAAGTAAAATTTGACAACCATAAATTTGGATAGCTCATAAATGCACTCAGAATATAAGTCTGACTTCTTGCACAAATATTTCTTGGAGAAGCTGAGGGTTGACTGATTTCCCAGAAACAAAAACAGAAGGAATATCTTGTAACTTTCCAGGGAGCATGGAAATATTTCATCTGATTCAGTTATAAAATGTACCCAGTTCTGCTTGACTGTAGTTCACTGTCAACAATGTTCACTATTGCTAGTTCACAAATGCACATCTGTGGTGTCACATTACATATTAGCCATGAAATAGATTTTTAAAAATTATCAAAGCTCTCAAAAGTATTTGTATACGCTGTGATCAGCATGATTTATAGTTTTTTAAGCAGCATGGCACATTGTGTTTTACTGCTGGGCTAGGAATCTTGTTCATATTTGCTCAGAATTAAAATCTGCTGATTTAAATGGTGTTTGTTTTCAGATAGGTAGGCTGCCCCCATATCTCAGTGGTACAGCAGAGAAAAAAGGCATGGGACATTCTGCAGGAAGATAAACCAGGCAATACTGTAAAAAATATTGGACTCCTTTGTTTTTATATAAAGGAAAACAACAGGCAGGCAATTAGCACAACCCTGCCTATTGCACCTAAGGCTGCTGTTTGGAAATGCAAATATTAGGAGTTCATGCATACTTCAGGTTCCAAAAATGATATTCAATATCTAGTTTAGGAGTGGCCAACTATGGCCCATTTACAACGGGTGGATTTCAACTTCCAGAATTCCTGAACCAGCATAGTGGGCTTGGGAATTCTGGGAGTTGACTTCCACTGGTCAAAAGGGGGCTGTAGTTGCCAACCCCTGATCTACTGTCTTTAGCTAAAGGTATGGGAGAAGACTTAGGGAATCAATCCAAGTACCAGTTTTACTTAGTAAAGTAACTTTACCATCTTTGTAATCTGCCCATTCCCCCAAATCCTGTACTATGAAATGAACAGGAACTATAAAGACCTAAATCAGATGATTTAGTTCAATCCTTCTGTTTTCACCACAACCATTCAGGTGGTAATTAGAAATCTACAGGCAGATTATGGACCCCTGGTTCTTTCACAGAACCTATATACTTTGTGTACCTCCTGATCCATATTTTAAACAAATCTGAAATGGACTTTCTGCTGATATATATAAAAATGGAAACAATATGGGATTAGGAGCCTGTCTTAAGAGCAAAGTGGAAAACACAACTAAAGAATTAACCTGGGGAAGAAATTGTCTTCCTCTGTAGTGCGAAGAATGTCCTTCCCTTGAGGAGGAAAAAAATATATGTTGAGTGTCTAATGGCCAGAGTTGGCTCCATTGAAGAGGGACTTCAGGGGCCACAAGTGACTATATTAAAAATGCAAGGGAACTAGCAACAGGGTTCCTGATGATCTCCTGGCTTGTAACACTCCAGGTTGGCAGAGAGGGGCAAGCAAGAAGTTAGCCACAGGGAATAAAACGCGAGGGGAGGGGAGAAAAGAGCTGCTGTGATGAGATCAGAAGAAAGAAAACTTTAAAAGGAGGGGAGGGAGAAGGGGGGGACAACAGCTCAGCGGAGAAGGGGAAAGAGCCTCGTATAAAAGCATGAGACACACGCAAGGAGAAAGCCAGGCTGGACGGAGAAGCCCGCCTTTCAGCGCGGGCACCAGCGCTGCTCCCTCTCTTCGTCCTCCCAGCACCAGCGGGCCAGGCAACTGGCAGGGTTCGAGTTCCCGTCCACCACCACCACCACCTCCACCACCACCACCAGGCTCCCAGCCAAAGGCTTCGACCGTCCCTTCAGACTGGATTTCCCTCTCGGCGGCGGATCAGACCCGCGGGGACTAAGAGGCTGAGAGAAGGCGCGGCAGTTCTGCCTGGGAAATAGCCTCGGACCGGCCGCGGCCGTAAGAAGAAGCAGAGAAGGGAGGACCGGGGAGACCCGAGGGGGGTGAAAGTTGGTCTAGGAGGGGGGAAAAAAGGAGGATCAGGACAAGCCCTCGAACGGAGCCGAGGCAAGGCGGGAAAACTTCGCGCGGGGGCTCCCAACTGACACACCAGCCGAGCCTGAAACTGACAGCCAGCCGCTCTCAGGGCTTAAATGGGCTGAGGAGAAAAGCGCCCCGAGTTCACTGAAAGCGCCCCCGCGGCGCAAAGGCTTCCGAAGGCTGCTGTGGGGAGGGCGGGAGGGAGTTGCTCTCTGAGGGACCCGAGTGGCGGGTCTGGTTCGCCTGAGGGGGGATTCATCCCGCAGGCTAAGAAGGGAAGAGCAGAAATTTGCCCTTCTGGGGCGGACAGCGCGCGCCAGGCGGACAGACTTCGCGGGAGGGGGACCGACTCTTCCAAGTGGGGCTCTCCCGCTCGCCGCCAGCAGGGGCGGACGCCGCCCACCCCCTTTCCCGGTGCCTCTGCAGACAGGCCGGGCATCTACACCACCAGCGCCTGATTTCTCCCCAGGCGCCAGCCTAGCGGTTCTCTCTCTCTCTCCTGTGTATCTCTTCTCTCCCACCCCCCACAACAACCCGAGGGCTGCCCGGCCACATCTCTTGGGGCGCGTCCGGCGCGCTCGGAGGTGGGAGGGGGTCGAGAAGTCCGCGGCAGCCCCCGCGGGCGTGCGGCCGCTTTTCGCAAGGCGGGCGAAGACCCCATGCGAGCGCCGGGCTGCGAGCGCAGCAGCAGCGACCCCTGCAGCCCGCCCCGTCGCCGTCGGACGAGCGTCCTCCTCAGTCGTCCTTCTCCGCCGCCTCGGAAACCTCCTCCCATCCCGAAGTGGCTCCGCCGTGGTGGTGGCGGTGGCGCGGCGGCGGCGGCGCTGCCTGCGACGACGCTTCCTCTCCTGCTGGCCCGGACGATCCCGAGAGCGGCGCTGCTGGCGCGGGAACTCCTGCTCTCGGCTCCTTAGCGGCCGGGCAGGCGGCGGTGGCTGCTGCTGCTACTATTCCTTCTTCTCCTCCTCCTGCTGCTGCTGCTCAGTTGCCGCCGCCGCCGCCGCCACCGCCGGAGCCGCGGAGCCCTAAAGCCGTCCTCTGCAGGAGGATGGTGCGTCTAGCGGCCGAGCTGCTGCTGCTGCTGGGGCTCCTCCTGCTTACCTTGCACATCACGGTGCTGCGAAGCAGCGATCCCGAAGCGCCGCCGGGCAACCACAGCCAGCGTCAGCAGGTGAGAGCGCGGAACGAGGCTGGGCTGCACGTAAAAGCCAAAAGGTTCTTGAGCGCCCCCCCCCCCGCCCTTCCACCGGCCACCCCGCCATAGGCAGAAAACTCCGGGAATCCAACTGGCGAAAAAGCATTCGTAAAGCGCGCCTTCTGAGGGAAGCCGCCTTCGACCCACTTCGCTGCAGTTCCTCCTGCGAGTACGCCCTGGAGCGGCTGGCTCGCTTCGGGAATAGCCTTTCCCAGCTTGGGCACTCCAGAATTCCCAGCCATCCAGGGCCGTGAAGGGTTGGGAAATTTGGAAGTTTAGACCCAACTCTCTCTTAAGACCCCCCTCCCCATTCCCTCTTATGACTCTGTTGAATTGGGATTGTTAAGAATTGAAGGCAAGTCCTATTCCCCCCCCTCCAATGTTCGTGCAGGTTAGAAAGAATTGAGGTTGAAGTCCAGCTGGCAAGATTCCTCTAGAACAGTGGTTCCTAACCTTTCTTTGGCCATGCTCCAATTAAGCATCTTTAAATTTCTCTTTTCTTACATGAGTTTGCCATGTATATTTCAATTGGTTCACCCTGGCATTGAATGCTCATTGTTTCTAGGTCCTGTATCTGACCTCCCACATGCTCATTCCAAAGTCAGGATATGGACCTTTCTTGGGGTAGAGAATTGGCACTTCTGACATGCTGTTGGCCCATATAGAATGGGCAAAAGAGAGGCGCTGGGACTTTAGCTCTGGCAACAAAACCATCATTTTCCAGTTACTGTTCTCATTACTGCTGCATGTTTAGGCTGTCTATGTATGTTCTTGCCTCCTTCAAATTTTCATGATTTTAAAACCTATTTGCCTGAGATTTTTTTCACCCACTGAGGGTTTCATTCACAACTTTCCTAGTCTTCTTGAAGTAAATTCTTTCCCTGTCCTGCTGCCTCATAACCACCATCCTTTCTACCATCAGAGGAGGAAACCAGCCAGGCAAAACTTTGCTTAATGCACAAATATGATTTATTATGGTTAGCTATGCTACTATTAATGTATCAAGAATATTCCCTGGTTTGAAGCTGTAATTGGGGGTTGTTTGGGCACATAAGAAACTATAAATTTAGATGTCCTATCATGCCATGTCATTCTTGTCTGCTTACTTGCTTCCTTGTTTATATTAGTGTCCTCAAAGCTTCCAGGTTGTTGGGGGTCAAAGGTCACAGAATTCCCATGGAGACCTGTTTTGACCCTTCGAGTTGGGAATTCTGGCAATTGTAGTTCCAGTCAACTATTCTTTTTAATTTTATTTTGTTATGATTGTAAACCACCCAGAGTTATCTTGAGGTGAGACTGGTGGCCAACACAATCAATCAATCAATCAATAAACAAACAAACCATGCATGCATGCATACATACATACTTAAACAAACAAACAAATCTTGGGGGCATCTGACTGGGCAAAAGTGGGTCTGCAATTTGATTTAATAACAGAGAAGGCATGTCATGTGTGACTGATGCTAATAAATCCACAAGGCTAAAAACCCCAAGGTTTTTTTTTTATTCTATGCCTTTACTCCCCAACCCAAATATCCTCTGCTGTCTTCTGCACTTAGAAACATTTGAAGAAATATTAGCTAAGAAGAATACATTTTTCCTGCAAAAATATTTCTTCTGAAAGGAATTAACTTCAGATTAGGACTCTGAAGGGAATTAGCTTCAGATAATGATCTGGGTTAGGAATCACTTCATCTCAAAGATACATTCCCTGGACAAATGTCTTTCTATATTTTTTCATATACTTTTACCTTGTTATCTCTGGTAAGCACAGAGCAGGTGGATAGTTGGTATCAGTCTTTGTTCTAGTTATAGCACATTCAAAAATCATACATTTAATCTGGTGATTATAAATATATTTGAGAGGAGAAAAAGTTCTTTTCCAGATTTTAGATTGCAGTAGTTCTATGTTTTTGACTTATGGCCAAGAAATAAACCCAGGAGACAGTGCCCAAGTTCAGCTATAATATAAAATTAAGAAAAGGAAAAGTGCTAGAAACGCTCCATTGTGCAGTGAACATGAGTTCCTTCTTAGCTGTTCAGTGTCTCTTAGAGCTGTGCAGCACTTTGGATTTAAAATCCAATAGCTACTTCAGAGCATGCAGGAATTCAGAGGGCAGCTACACAATCAAGGGGAAAAGATATACCTCTTGAAAGAGTTGCAAATATGTCAGAATGTCAGGCACTCTGGAACATCTTTGTGCCTCTGACGGTAAAGGGCAGCATTGCTAGAACATCCGTGGATGATGGATGGGCAACAAGCAGTGGCATCTGTGGGTGGGACAAAGTCGAGGATGTCAAAAAGTCATGGCCATTAAATGTTTGATCTAGAGCCCTGTAGATGTATGTGGTGGTGATGGTGATGATGATGATGATGATGATGATGATGATGCATGTACAAAATGGATGAGGGATTGGTCATATGTAGGTGGGACCACTACATTGATATTTTAAAACCTGTTCCCCGATGGATGCATAGGGCACTGATCACTTATGGAGATGACATCTCCTCAACCTTCCTACATTCATTAGGACATCCATTGAATGCTCTTATGAACATGTTACCAAATCACTTCTTCCCTTGACATGCATTACTTTTTCATTAAGTACTGAATAATTCAACAAGTAATCGTCTTTTGTAAATGCAAAGAACTCTTATACCAATCCAGTTTAAGTTGCATTCTGCATCAAGTTCTCTGGATAGCTGATATTATTAGTGGATAAAATGTATGAGACGCCCATGAGAGTGACTGAAATATTGGGGAGCTGAGCTTCGGGAGCCCAACCAACCCTTAGCAAATCCCTAGGCTATTATTGCCCACCATAATTCAAGCCACGAAAGAAAGCTTGCTGACCTCCACGGAGGTTTCAATTTTTATGATGTAAATGGAATATATGGATGCCTTTTCTGTGCATCAGTACAGCAAACCTTCTCTCCTCCTGAGTAAACTATGTAGCCAGAAAATGTTATATGCACATTTAAGACAGATCTTTGGCCATTGACATACAGAGACAAATTTAGCTTCCATAATTTTAAACCACTGATCGTGGTTTGACACAAAAAACCAAGTTTGAAGAACACTTTTTCAAAACTCTTGGTATAGAAGATGATGAGCAGAGGAAAGGGAATCTACCAATCAGGAGCCTTCATAGAAGGCAAAGAAACCTGTAAAAACCCCAACAAATTGTTTAGGTAGAATGAAAATATGTCTCTGGTGATTCTCAATCATCCAGTTCAATCATTCAAATCCTAAAGATGCTTTTTCAAGAGGCAACTGGACTTTTTTGTTTTTCTTTGGAGATGTTTCGCTTCTCATCCAAGCAGCTTCTTCAGCTCTGGATAAGAAGTGAAACGTCTTAAAGAAAAACCAGAAAGTCCAGTTGCCTCTTGAAAAAGCACTTTGGGACAGACTGAAGAAAGCAGCTAGAAGGTTTTTAATTATTAAACATATTTATATGCACCCCAATCAAAAACAACTCTCAGTAACTCACTTTGAAAAATACAATATAAAACAAACCGCATACAAAATAAAAATATTCTTATTTTTGATTGATTTAAGGGAAATTCTTAAAACACACACACACACACACACACACACACACACACACACACACACACACACACACACAC